TTATCAGAATAACAAAAATATCACCCTAGGATATATTTTTAAGTCATTCGACGCTTTCTTTTCTATGCGCACGAAAGGCGTGCCCTATTCGGGGATCCACGGTTTGAGCGCCACTGTCGAACAATAACTTCGTGCCGCTGCGAGCTCTCAAAATGGCTGTCCTCAGCTATTATTACTTCGGGGAAAAAACAAATGACGGCGCGCTCACGCTACGAGAGGAGAGACAGAGCCAAGGCTCTTCGTATAACGCACGCCGTGGACGCGTGTGTACGTGAGACGTGGGTGTGTATATACGCGTGCAGGATCCTCGATCTACGTACAGAGTTAAAAACATCGACGTACACCTTACGCGTGTTCCTGAATTCCGATTTTATCAAAATGATAATACCGCTGCTTTGCTATAGAAACACGTAAACAAAATGACAAATAACGAGATTCGCGCGACATCCCTTTGGTTCTTCGTTTACTAATCATGAAAGACTGTATACAACGTTAGAGATTCCGGCTTGGCTAGACCCGACGGGATAAAGTCTGGCAGACGCTGTGAAGGCACGACCATAGCAGTCGTAAAATTTTGAACGAAATTATCGTTGACCGTGTCCAGACTGCGACAACAATAATGCCATTCCACTTCCTGTATTTAAACGTATGCACGGGTCTGAATATTTCTTTTTTCGGTCAGCCTCGTGGGACTTTACGATTCACGGGTAAATTAGAAATATTTTGAAAGGTCCGGCCCAAGGTTCGTGTCCTCTATCGACACAGGTACCGAGGAAGGTAAACGGAAAATTAAGTGTTAAATTCCGTGCACGCTACGGTATAAAGCAAGGCAAAATAACGATGTGCTTGAATTTTGTCGAATTCTTGGTGCGTACGTACAGGTTATGTAAGGCTGCTTCTTATTAGAAGGAGGATGTGATAGAAAAGACGTACTCACCGTTTGAAATGCTCTCGTATGCGATCCTCTCGGATGTTTTCCGGCAGATTTCCAACCCACAGGTGACGTGTCTCTCTAACCATTTTGCTCCGAACTCTTCATTTGGGATCGGATGTTGTGGTATCGTTTGGCGGCACTGTACAACGACACACAACTTCGCCCGACGCTAATCACGGCACACTCTCACCACACCACCGATATTCAATACCGCGAGCGGGTCGGCTAAAGGAAACCTCTTTTCTCTTTGCCGGATTTCTTGCGATCGCTGTTTGCTCGTTTCGCGACAAATCAATAAGTAAATAATAGATTCGATACGACACAATTGATATTTCCTATTCAATTGACGAGAAGAAACTTTCTCGTGTAGCTCGCGACACACACGCGACAAGAAACGAAGAAACCGTTACGTGTATTCCACGACGAAGGAAGGAGCTTCCTCCCACTTCGACACTCCCAATTTAATCACTGGCAACAAACAGATTATCACTAGTCACTAGCCGGAAGGTGGTGACCCCAAGCACGACGAGTGCTGTCGTCAGGGCAGCGCCGTGGAACGATCGGCCAACAGAAGAGGGTGGCTACGGAGCTCTCGCGATAAAATTTTTGCGTCGCGACGCACGCTGACGACAACGACGACAACCACGAAGAAGAGAAGGAGGAGCCTCGATAGTGGACACCACTGATGGCAACGGCTACAAGGATCAGGACCGTCGCCGAACACCACATCGTATACCACTGAATCGCGTATGAAGAAAGGCGGTTAATCACACATCACACCAAGCACACCGGGCACAATGCGCGGGCGATACATCCCAACGCATATTTGCCAAGCATAAGCACACTCGCGACAATCTGCCTGCTGACTTCGAACGCCTCCCGTTTTCTTGCCGAACACCGACGAAGAGGCTGCCGATACGCTTTCAAACTCTCGCGGAAATCCCACTTAAAAAAAACAATCGATCTACGAACGATAAAACCGCTGCTTTCTTCCTGCTAAATACTACAACGTGCAACTCTTTTTACCGCGCACACGACACACTATTCTTTTCCTTTTTCTTACTTCGGAATTTTTCCCGCTTACTTCACTTACAGCGCGCGTATTTCGCTTCTTTCACATCACTGTATTATTATCACCGCTCGAACCTCGTTAATGGAATTATACATCGGATATATTTTTCGGTAAAAGCGAGGCGCGGTTTCCTCTATCTTTTTTCGCGCTCGGATAACTTGTCGTGTCACGTAACGTGCATTAATAGAACAAATTAATGATATATTCGTCAACTCGATCGCTACGATGCACGCTTGTATATGTACGTCTTAAACGCACTCGCTTCGTTCACTCGGGCCATGTAACGCGGATGGAGCTGGCTTCGCTCCTTCTCACTGCACTACACTACTCAGAGTGACGTCACCGTGGCGGGAGCGTAGTATGGCTCGCTGGCTAGTATCGCTGTTGGCCGCATAGTGGGGGACAACGCGTAGGGGAACGAAACGAGTCTACCTCGAAAAGCGGCGGCTTGCAATCGCGATCGTCGCCCGCCAGCCGGTGAAGTGTATCTGTGGTGGGGGAAACTTTTCGTACGTCCCCGGAGGGGAGCGAGTGGAGGGACTCGTTCGAATCGAAGCAAGGACAGGTAGGGAGAACTCGGAACTCCGGGAGAGAAGGGATAACGGGTCGAACGAGCTAACCCGAACCCCCTAGCCGCGCTCGTCCCTTTCGAGCCGGGTCTATCTCACTCCTTGCTACCTCTCCTCGCGGCTTTTCTCGTCTCTTCCCTTCGTCCCCCTCTACGACCAGCCGCCTTCTGCCCCTGCTCCTCTTAACGAATTGCCCCACTCCCCTTACGCCATCCTCTTTTCTCCTCTTCTCTTCCTACTCCGTAATCTCTTCGTCCTCTTCCTCCTACCTTGTACCTCCTCCGCCGTCACCACTCATCCGCCATCTTTGTTGTACGCTCTTTCTCTCTCCATCCCGCTCTCTCCAGGGCCGGTTTAGGGGCAGCCAATTACCCGGGGCATCGGTACTTTCTACCAAGAATAAAGACGGAAAATCGGATTATTACGAAAATAAAAGTACTTAACTTTGTGACGTGCTCTCTAATCAAGGAAGTAACGATCAAACAAACGCGTCGGTTCGATGGCGCGTACAAGCTAATAAAATATTTACCAGTCTCTGCGCTTTGTGTGTAAATATCGTGAACACGAAATATTATGATACAAGGAATACCATTAGATTTTGTTTGATAATGCGACGATAGGAACTACTATGATAAAAATAAAGATTATGCTGTAATGACATAGTTATGGAACAAGGTATGGTGTAAAAAGGAATTTTATTCCTTTAAGCTTTCTTCGATCACAAGTGTAGATCGTAACAATTCGTCAATAATTACTTTTTACATGGCTATAAGAAAAATGTACTACGCTAATTATTATAGAAAATATATAAACAAGAAAAATAGGTAACGAATTAATATTAAAACAATATATCGAAAACTTATATTCCATGGTATTTTAAACGATATACAATTTCAGTTTTATGGAATTATCTGTAGTGCACTTATTTTCGTTATTATCATATTCAAAGTTCAATCGAGATATGGAAATAATGACTTTCCAAGTGCAAGGGGCGCCAGAATACGTTGAGCCGGGCCTGACCTTGCTCCATCTTGTTTCCGCTAAAATCGCGTCAAAGTCGTAGATTCATGGCGTCGATCTAGTGGCTGCGAATTCACGACACCTACCGTTCGTTTGTCTTTTACGAGTCGTACCTTCTTTTAATGGTTCACGGCGGTTTGCTCATACGACATTAACTCTATTGGCGACAATACCAAACATCCGTTTGTCGGTAGAGTACGTCATCGAGGCTAGAGAAAGCGATTTCCGTCGTACTCGAATTGCTTCGTCCGAAAACGAAGGCAGTTTCATGACTGTTTCGTACTCAGAACGTTTCGAACGAGAAACGCCTATTGCGTGTTTTGTACCGGTGATTTATAGATACCTCCAAACGTACAGTGACCATATATAAAGATGTTCACTGCATTAAATTTTGGGTACTATTTACTGTTAAATAAACATGTATTGCATTACAGGTGATATAAAATATTGTGACCATTTAATATATTTGTTATAACACTTTATTGGACGTGATATTTGTACTATGTATTTAATATTATTAAATAAACAAATATGTACATAATTTATGTAATATTTTTATGAACAGTCATGTAAACGTTTAATTATCTGATTTACTTTTATATCTTAATGCATTTATCTGTTGAATTATGTAAAGTACAAAATATGTTATAAAATTTTTCTCCATATTCAATGTGTATATACTTTTTACTGTTATTTTCTTCGCGTGAAATACATACATATATAACAATGGAAGGCTTAGTTCAGAAACTAATTCCTGTGTTCTGAATGCTTCATAAAATGTCAATTTAGTAACTGTACTAGTACTAGACAATACTATGAAAGAAAGGTAATGTATAAATAGTTGAAATGAAATGAACAATATACAAAATGTTGGGATAAATCAATGTTAAATCAACATATTAACTGTAAATAATTTTATGACAAAGAAATTTGCATTTTGGTATTAATATCCAAAATTTAATTTTATCGAATTTTAATTAAATTTTTTAAAGCTACATTTTTTTATGCTATATTCCATTATTTATTAATTTATAAAGCAATTAAACATATTGTTCAATCGTGTAGGTGACGGTGGCGACAGCTTCCAATGAAAATATCTTATGAAGCATTATTTTACTTGCGCTCAGAGCCATCTGTCGGAAAAATAAATATTAAAAATACGTCTCTTACCAACAGTAAATACAAATGATATCATATCGAACAAACAAATTTGTTTATTTTCTGCAATTGGAAGCACGTAATTACTTTCGATCATAGTCAGTTTTTATACAACAGTAATGTATAACCTTTCACGTTGCATGCAAATTTTAAAAGCTGATACGCATTAAACTAAAACGTATATATTCAAGTTTCCAATTGTAATTTTAATTATTGACTTTGTCAGGAATATTGTTGTGTTGATAAGTTAAGAAATATGTCGTTGCACGATAAACATTCAGAAATCTCAGATCATTCGGAAGAACCATCTATTTTATCATCTGATGCAAATGAGCGGAAGCTGGCACGCAGGCTTCGTGTACAACGTCGTTTACAAGCACGAGATAAGTAAGGATCGAATCAAATTTAGTAAACATTTCATATGGTAAACATGTTTAAATTATAAATTTGTCAAGTTAAAAAATATGATAATAGTTACTTCTATATATTTCATAGTGTACCCTTAGTTTCTTCCAATTTAAAATCTATTTTTCATTTAATTGAAAGAAATATAATTCTTTTTTCGATAAAAATATTTATATAACTACTTATAGTATGATCTGATGCAGGCTTAATTAATTATTTCGTGATATTAGACAGGTAAAAGACCAGGTTGAGGAAGTCGAAGAAATAACCCCTATCGAAAAGCAAATTCTTGACAGCGTAGATGCTCTGGAAAAATTAGCCGCGGAAGGTGATGAAGTGGTACGTCTAATTTGAATCGCCAACGGTCACATTTCGCGAATTATCGATATATTAAATTACCATCATCAATTACCATTTTATACAAACCTACAATTTCGCAATACAGGATCCGGTACATTGAAAATTAACAAATATATCACGTAATTCATATAAGACAAATATTGTTAGCATTTCACTTGTATATAAATTTCAAATTAATTTAATTTATGTAAAATCGATTCTTATAGTAATAATAACCTCAACAAATTACTCAGAACGATATAAAATCAACTAATAAGATAAAGTGGAACGTCATTTTTGTTAGAAAGTACCATTACGTAAAAATACTGTAAAAGCGATACGAATTTTGTTCCAAATTTAATTTTTTTCCCAAAAAAAAATGTCGTACATACTTCGAATGTATTAATATTATAAATATAACATAAATATATCATCGTTATTTTCTCATCATCGTTCGATCGTTGTGCACATTTCGATACAGAATTTTGAACGTCGTTTCTGAAAGTATATTTTAGTTTATCAAATTTTAGCATTATTGTCGCGAACGGGTAATAAAAATCAAAATAATAATAACGCATCGATGTATTTATAGGTCGCTGGCATTAGAGTGGCAAACGATGCAAAGGAATTAGAAAGAAGGAAAGAGATGCAGGAGACGAGAGAGAGGTTACTGGTAATGCTCGAAGAGGAAGACAAAAAGTGTTCAGGGCAGTATCGTGAGATTACAGACAAGTGGCCCGATATTCTTGCAACTAAACACCCGTTAGATATCCACGATCAACTGGAGGCTCAAAATGCCAAATGTCTCGAGATACTGAATAAAAAGGATGACTTGATCGCGGAATTGAAACAAGAGCTGAACAATGCTGATTTGAAATTCGCTGAGGACGTAAAGAAACAAAACGAAGATGTCGATTTGCTTATCGAAAGGATGGAGAATCAAGTCAGTTTAATGATCACAAATCTTTCGAAGTTTTTAAAACTTTATATTGCTCAATAAATATTGAATATCTCTTATGACTTTAAAAACTGTACTAAAAGATTTGATATTTTAACAAATTTTGGGAAAAATAGCAAATAAAATTTCGAAAGATCCTAGTGACCGATAAAAAGGAAATTTAGAAGGAAGGTAGGAGTGGGGGAATGAAACTTAAATTAAAAATTTTTATTTCGGATATTTTATCAAAACGCTTTTGGTACAATATCTTAAACTATAGGCAAAATAGCTTTTACCTGTTAAATATTTTATTCAAAATGCTTCTTGTAACTATTACAAAAGAATAGCAGAGTATTACACAAAATATGACATTAAAAAAAAAAAAATGGAAAAAAGTAAGTTGATTTAGGAAAAAGTCACTAGACTGTTTCAAGTCACCAAAAGTTATATCAAATATGATAACCTATTTTTATGTTAACATAATATTTATATAATATTAATACAATGTTGAGACGAAGTAATATAATATTAATGCATACTAATACAAACTGTTACAATATAAAATTTAGGTGAAATCTCTAAAAATGGAGTATATTATTAGTTAAGATTAAGAGAGAATCGAATCTTAAAGAGCAAAATAAATAGAAATATCTGTAAACCTTCAAAACATTCTCTCTAGATACAAACAATGACGAAAGCTTATCGCTATGAAGTGGAGATGATCGAAAATGTTGTCGAAGCGGAACGAAAAATACTTTTGGAATCTTCTTTGGAAAAATGGAACGTGTTATTTAAGAAACTACAAGATGATACCTTCGAGGCGAGGGAGAAGAGAAAGGAAGTGATGCGTGAGTATGAGGAGGAAATGCAGAAAGCAATGATAGAGCACCAGGAGGAATTTAGGAAACAAAAGATCATGTTTGAGCTGGAAATACAAAATCTTCAGCA